CTTGGCAGAGTGAGCTCTTCACCAGATATCAAGTCTGTGCATGAAAATACCAACAACTGCGCTGTCGTGAGCTAAAGGATAAATCTAAAACTATACTAAAATTTGAATCTACATTTAAAGATGAAGATCTGATGACATAATGCAAGGCAGGATTGGTAAGAAGACACGATGGGAACAACTAACATAGCCAAAAAGAGTAGCTATGCTCTCATGTTTTAACATCAGTTTGATGCAAAAAAAAAAGTAATTCTTTTCTTATCAAGGTAGCCTTTACTGGGAGAGGTAGTAACTGAAATACCTATTATACAGCACTTATAGTGATTGAGATATATTGTAGATTGAATTCAATGTGTTTTGGTCAAAAATTTAATCAGAATTTTCTAGAGGTGGCATTTATGTCCTTCAATTTAGTGAATAAGGCAAGACTATTTAAATTATATATATAATAGTGCCATACAACCTGTTTCAATCTGTTTCAACATTTTTAATATATATTCTACAGTTTTACTAATGGTATTATAAAATATATAAATAAAATATTATTATAAAACATAAAACTGTGTAGTATTTTGGTATTTTTCCACTGGTAAAGACAGAAATCTCAAATAAAAAGAATGATCTAAAAAGAAGTTATACGCCTTACACATGAAGGAAGGTACTGCCTTCCTGATACCACTCCTCAGGCCTAAAAAAGCCTTAGAATATAAATTAAAAAAATTAGTTATATATGATCGGCCCTCATTCTCCACTCAGTTCTGCAACAATAGTCAAGCCCAGATGTCACAAAAGATGGCAGAAGAAATCTCAAAGAGAACAGACATGGGATCACCACCTTCTAAAGTCTTGCAGTCCCTAAAAATCAAAGATGGTCTTTGGTCTAGAAGTATATGGTTTTATATCCTGTCCCCTTGTTTTCTTTTCTGATTGCTCCTTTCAGCTTACAGAATTTTCCTGTATTCTTGGAAGGCTAGAGAAGAATGACTGAAGGAGGTAAAAAGCTTCTGCAGCAAACTGTTAAAATGCCAGAAATGTCAGTTACCAGAAAATCATAAAAAATTGGAGGACTGAAGGAGTTTCTGAAATTGAAAGCTACATGCTGCAGCAGAGGCACCATAAGCTGGACAGAAATTCAAGTTCAGGAATAAGGCAGACAGCCTGGGGGTACAACTGAAAGCAGGCTTTGAAAACGCGAGACTCTCTGCAGGAGAAGGAGAGTGGGTTTGTTTCTCTAGGCATAGGATAAAGGCACACAATCTCACAGAAATGTGTCATCCACTGACATTCCATCTATAGGACTGTTTTCAGCCTGTGCATATACACACACTTATACATGAGGATATACATGTGTTTTTAAATATGTGTTGTAAATTCAGACACTGAACAATCAGCAACACATTTTCAATTTATTAAACAAACCCCAGATCAGAGAAGACAGTAACTGTGCCTGAGCTGGAAATAATATATATATAAGTCTTATTAAAGACTAAGCAGAATTCCCTGTGTGTACAGATTTATAGAAGGCTTTCAGGGACTTAAGGGTTATCTTTAGCATTTCAATTATTATTATGGATTGTAAAAAAATGTATTTGACAATGATCAGAGCTGGCAGTCAAGCTAGTAATTCGATATCCATTAACAAGTAATGTGTTAAAGGGAAAGCTCTGCTGTAAAATTTTACAGAAATCTTCATGTGTTGCAGATTATCATGTAAGTCACAATTGTATTTTCTATTTATATTCCTTCAAGTCCTTCCATTTATCATGGAATGATAAATTAAGCTGGATGTAGCTGTTGAAAGCAAAGAAAATCCTTCACTGTCAACAAAGGATTTATACAAACATTTTCAACTTGATCCTTAGATCCTGTAGCTCAAGATATTATTAGTACTTTCAAGAATCATGTGAAGAATTTCCCTATGTAAAAGAAAATGTACCTTTGCAAATAACAAGTAAATTATGGGATATTTGTATTATGGTAGCAAAGTTTGGGGTTTCTTTATGTATAGCACTGTTCTCACAAACTGTGTGCTTTGCTACATAAGTTCCCCCTAATTAAAAAAATGTTTTTTCCAGGTAAAAATAAGTGCAGCTGCTCTAAAATCTGTAAAGATGCACATAAACTGTTCCTCCACTTAACAGAATGGTACTTTGAAAGACAACATGAAAATTTAAATAATTAACTATTGTGCTTTTTGGTGCCCTAGTTCAATAAAAAGCAATCACACAAATCTTTCAGGATTTCAAACAGTGTTTTGGTTGCTTTAAGTGATGCACATCTTGAAATTCAAATGAAGCAGTGATGCAATTTTAATTGAGCAATTAAAATAATTTTTCATGGTTTCTAAATGGATTAGCTCTAAAATTACTTGTCTACTGAAAAAACACTTCTGCACAGCAGTTACCCGATATCACATTTCCAGACAATGCCTCCTTTGTCATCATCCTGTTTCTCGTTCTCCCTCAAATGTTTACAGAACACAGTTGCCTTTTGAACTTATTTACTGAAAAGAATTTATATGTCTGCTTAGTACTCTTCAAAACCTTTCCTTTAGTAAATCTGCAACAGAATTCCCATTATAGATATATACCATTTAACTCCAGTACACATTGAAACACTTGGGGTGTTTGAAATTAAGAAAGCATTCCATATTTTATGCCTTATCCTTAAGCCCATTTATAACACAGTTCCCTTGGAACAGGAGGAATTATGGTATCATTTGGAATTTACTGCAGCTCAGACCTACTGATGGATTGAAGAACATGGCTGAAACTCAGACCTGGAGAAATAGAGAGCAATGATAAGGAGTTACTTCAGTTCATTTTCTGCAACACATTTCTTCACGGAACAAGCTTTCTTTCACCTACGGGAGCTTTTTTCCCCTAAATTACACTACCCTAAAAAAAAAATTTACTATGATGTTCACCCCTAGATCTATCCTTTTTCAAAGCAAATATAAAGAAATTTTGTCTCCCTGATGTGAAGCACAGCGGTCAAACTCTTCCGCTGGAAATCCATAATGGCAAAAGGAAGACAGAAACTAGAAACTGAACTTCTGAATTTTCAGTGGTTCTGATATGAAAGAAAGCATTAAAAAAAATCTGGAAACTGGAAAACTGCTCCTTTTTAATGTATTAAAGCTTCACTGTATCCTGTTTCACAAATTAAATGTGTTCCTAGCTATCTGGGGTGACTGGGTGAAACTATCAATGACTACTCTGAAGTTGTGAGGAACGCAGAGGGAGGGCAGCAAAATATACATTATTCCATGCATTTTCTCATATAAGTGCTCCTATTTTTGTCGTTTAAACTTCACATACTCTAAAACAACCTCTTGACTATTTTAAAACATGTCCCTAAAGTCTGTCCTATGTGCATAATTCATTGCTTTGAATATTCTGGTTGGTCTTTCAGAAGAAACTACTTACTGTCAGTTGAAGTCTGAGGCTAGCTGTTTCAACAAATTATTTATCTGATGATTCCTTTAGTTATGTTTGTGTCCCTTACCTATTTAGATAGTGAGGTGTCCAGAACTGCATTTTATTTTGTATTTATAAGGCTCTTATGTAATGAGTGATCCACTGCCATGTGAGCCTCTTTGCAATGCCAAGATATAAAGTGAATGAAAACCACTAAGTTAATATGAGGACTCCAGGGAATGCTATTCCTGTTTAAAAGCATGAGAAAGAGACAGCTTCATGAAAACTGGTCCTTACAATCTAATATGGTGATTAAGCCAATGCTACACAAAATGGAGACAGTAACTTGGTCTCCTTCCTCTATTCTGCCTTTATTTGCACAAAAACCGAATGTATTTTTGGAGCTTTTTGGCTGTCTATTAAATTTATTGAAACTAGCCAACAGATTGCTGGCTGGATTACTGACAGAGTGACACAGCAGGATTTCCTTAGGAAGTCAGGCTAATCAGGCTGTTTAAAAAAATAAAAAATGAATTACATTTTAATTTTCAATTTGCATTGTATGAAATTAAATAAAATGGTTGCAGAACTGACCCTTTTTCACTCTTTATGATTTTACTCCCTCCTTTCATATAAATAGTTTCAATTTCCCTTCTGAGATTATTTTTTCTCAGATGGTCAGCTCAGCAACTATTTGAACTAATTCTTTAAAAATCACACTTTAGATATTTCTTACTTATTTTCCTATACATAAATGTGTGAAACATTAAAATGTAGTTTTAATATATATTTCTGTGGCTTGTTTTAGTTTTACTGTAAAAGTTCCACAAGGAGAATTTCTTTTGGGCTGGAATGCTCACTTTCCTGTCATAAAATGATAAAAAACGGTTCAATATATGCTGCTTTATGCTATTTTGGATATAAGGTCAGTTCTCAGGTAACACTTAATCATAAAGGTATTTTCCAAAATACGGGAAAATTAACTATCTTCAGCCACATTGCTATTGTTATTTGTAGTTCAATGAACACTGCTCTTATAAAAGTCTTGTGTTACAACCTTAATTACCTAATGGACAATAGTACCAAATGTGTCAGATTGTTTTAATTAAATTGAATACAGAGGTACTTCCTTTTCACCTACTCTGTCATTATTTAGCCAAAGAAAACACATTTAATACTGTCACATTTCCATCATAAATACTTTCCTTCAGTTTTGCAATTTTATTTGTACCATTCTCTGAATTTCCTTTAAATTCTTTAAATATTTCTGCTATATTTTTTCCAAGAACTTAATCTAATTTTATGTGCATGACCTTGTCAGCACAATAAAGAAAAGGATTATTTTGCATTAATGATGCACTATCTGAGCCCCAATGTAATTTTAATTACTGTCACAGCTCTGCCTTTTAAATGTCTTCAGCACTGTAATTCTTAATTTCTCAGTGCTCTTCAGTCTTAACAGAATTTTAAGAGTGTAGAGTCCATTTTCCACCTCCATGCCAGCTGTTCCATTGCCTTATTTCTCTTTTCTTTTTTTTTCTCATAAAGGTAAGCAGGTGAGAAGAGGGTCATGGCTGAACTTACCAAGAGTTCGGAAAGGTCTTTGGTTTGGTGTATGGGAGAAGAAACCAGGTTTCAAAGCATTTGTGATCAAAATGTCAAAATAATCTTCGAAATCATTCCTAGAAAGTAGAGGAAATTTGATTAGTTAAACTAATGAATTAGCTGAAGAGTAAATACTCTTTAAGACTTAAGAAAATATCATAGCACTTTAAGGCACTTGCTTCTGTCACATTTTTTTTCCCAATGCTTGTTTCGTGTCACTATTGCCCTTCTTTTCCTGAGACTGTCAAAAGGGAGTCAAACCCACAGTGCTGTATCTTTGAGATCACTCATTATTAGCAAAAAGATGTTCCTCGATCTCAGGAGAACATGTAATAGATGACATATTTTAATTTCAGATGACAACATATGCATAGATACACACAGAAAGATATAAATGAGGGATTTTCTTACAAAGGAGAATATATGAACTGATGGGATAGGAAGTAACTGAAGTTACTTAAACACAGGTGCTTATATGGCTTATAATGTAGGTATGCACAGGTCTAATGGGTATCTAAGATGCCACTGGCAGACAACACAGATCTAATTAATCGAGTCAGTGAAGTCAACGAAGTGTGCTTTCACATACCCTAAAGCTGAAATTTTGATAGCTGAACTTCAGACTCCACTGGCTGCTCTCACTAAATCCCTGCTGGTTACAGGGAGGTTAGATGTGTTAGGTGTTACAAATAAACACCTGCCAATGTTGAGTCTTAATCTGCCAGCTGAATCCCACTACTAAACTCAGGTTTTTCAAAGCTCATTAGATCCTTATATACAGATTGGTATCTGAACGGTGAAAATCCCATCAATTTAAATGGGATTGAATGTTTCAGTATGGTATACAAGAAAATGTAAACTTTCCTCCTTGATGATGTGTTTTATTTTATTAGAATTGTTTCATTGCTTAGGTGATTTTATTGCCTATAACATACGAAAATGATGGATACTCTTGCATGGAACAAAGAAATCACAAATGGCAAGTCCAGGATGGCCATAGGCACTGACATGCTGTATTGGGTCTGGCTGAGCTGGAGTTCATTTCCCCATAGTAGCCCTCACAGTGCTGTGCTTTGCACTGGTAGCTAGAAGGGTGCTGATCACACACCAGTGTTTTGGCTACTGCTGAGCACAGCATCAGCTCTGTAACGTTCCTTCCTCAACTGAGGGCAAGATCCTGAGAGGGGACACAAGAAGGCCAGCTGACACAAACTAACCAAAGGGATATTCCAGGCCATATAATGTCAGCTCAGAAATAAAAGCTAAGGCAAAGAGCAGAAAGGTGGACATTCATTGTCTCCCGTGGCTGCCTGCTGAGGAACCATTACCCATCCTGAAGCCCTGTTTCTTGGAGGTGGCCGACCATCGCTGCTTATGGGAAGTAGAGAATAAACAGCTTTATCCTTCTTTTTGCTTTTGATTTAAATAATCTACCTTATCCCAATGCACAAGTTGTTTTCCATCTTACTCCCTCTTCTGTCCAGTTGGGAAGGGGAGTGATAGAGCAGCTGGACAGGGACCTGGCTTCCAGCCAAGGTCAACCCCCCACACATGCTATCAGCAGTAGAGGAAGTTCAGTGGAAGTAAACTAGCTAACTGTATCTCTTTCAAAAAAACCACAATCCTACAGGGGTCTGAGACATCTTAACTCAAAAACTGAATGCGCTCCCTATAAGCTTATCTTCAAGCTTTTGTTTTGTGCTCAAAATTACATTCCAGCCTTAAAATAAAAGTCCTTTAAATTTCCTTCCTCTGATTAAATTTTAGCTTTGTCTGTTTTTCTCCCTTTGTGACCATACACAAACCCTTACCTTTCTAAAAGAAGCAATATCAAATATGACAATGGTGTGTTTTAAAACCGTGCTTCTGTGTGGAAGATTCCAGAAGCTGAGCAAACAAGCATGGCTCTTCTGCCCTTAGGTGAAAAGTATTGACAGAGATAAACTTTTCAAATTAGCATACAGAGCAAATAATGCTTCCATGGGGAAGTTAAGCTTGAACTTGTAAAATAAAGCAAGCACTTCAGGAGCACAATGGAGAACAAGTAGCAAGTGAGAAGATGAAAGGAAATAGTCTCAGGTTGCACCAGGGGAGGTTTAGATTAGATATTAGGAAAAATTTCTTTACAGAAAGGGTAGTCGGACATTGGAACAGGCTGCCCAGGGAAGTGATGGAATCACCATCCCTGGAAGTGTTCAGATAATGTGTGGATGGGGCACTTGCTGTGAACAGCAAAGTGCTTGTTTAACACTTGGACTTGATGATCTTATAGGTCTTTTCCAATTTAAATGACTCTATGATTCTATGATTTGTCGAAAAGGTCCAAGTGCTTTGTATTAAAATAAAACTGAAACAGAACAAACAGAGTTTTCAAAAGATTTCTTAACTTGTTATTGCTCTGTTGTAGAAAAAACTATGTTTTTTGTGAGGAGATGTGTTACCTGTGGCCTTTTTTAAACACAATAAATCTTATGTACAAAGCTACAGGTTTTATGAGAGACGTTGTGTTACATTACTATGTAACAATACACATAAAGCAAACCTGTTCCAGTTACTACTTGGTAGAATGGCCTGTGGTTACAGGAAATAGTTAAGACAAAGGGTAGGATGTAACTCCGACCATCTAAAAATTGCACGCTGAATTCACAGATAGTGATTGACACCATACACAGAGCCAATGGAGAAACATCGACATTATTAAAAGGTAATTCATCCCACTTATTTCAGACATAATTCTACAATACAGAATGAATTGCCAAGGATAATGCTCAGTGTTTTTTCTCCAGTTACCACAGAGGGAAACAAAATGACCAGCTTCAAAACATTTTCAGCTTTTAGGTGGCTAACATTCCTGAAAAGGTAAAATGACTCCTGACTTCAGTGACTATGTGACAATTAACTCGTCTTTAGGTGTGCTCCTGCCAACACTTAAATATTCAGTTAAGCGGACAAGCATTCTCATGGTAGATAATAATGAAAAGCCACACCATGATGATACTTGTGTGAATGAACTGGCACTTGCTTCTGCAGGTTTACATGCCTCATACACTGGTCCCAGCAGTACATGTGTGCTCTGGCTGGGAAACAGTTCTCATTTTATTTCAAAACTAAATTTTCTCTTACATTTCCTCTCCCTACCAAAATGTCTTTTAGCTAAGGACAATTTGGCCAGATGAACACAACTGGGCTATTTTGATTATTAAATGGTAAATGATACACTTAAGCATGAATTTCCCAGCACAGATTTTATGAAGACAGTAATTTCTTAGCCAAAAAGGAACTTCTTAAAAAAAGTGCAAAAAAGTAAACAGCTACAAGGTAAGGATATTAGGAGAAGGAGGCTAAAATTTTACATGCATCTCTGTTTATTATTAGAGTTTTTTATTTGTTACTATACAGTTTTATCATATTGATTACTGAAAGAACTATGGATAGAAATTAATAAAGGACTGTGTAGATGCAATTAGTAAGGGCTGATGTGATGAATAAAATGCAGTTAGCCTGATCAAACTAAAGTTAAGGGCAGAGATAATAAGTGTGAACTTAAAGTATATTCCAGTACAGCAAAAGCAGCATGGGCAAGTAGAGTCTTTTTGTCCAATACAAGAGGCACTGAAGAAACAAAACCAATAAAAGCGTAGATTTTTAGGAAAGAAACCCACTATGTCTAACGGACAGTGGAGTACTCCAGAAAACACTTGGAAGCCACACTGCATGAGTCACTGCAAAATACGATTGTAATAAATACCACAGAACGTCCTACACTTATGTGGAAAGAGAGAGTGAGGCAATATCCTTCTAGCAGAACATCTTTTTCTGTCTTTTGAAAGGCAATTGATTGGCCCTGGTACCTTACTTACTGTGTTCCAGCAGGATTTCTACAGCTGCCTGAAACAGCTGAAACACTATTCACCAAGGAAAAGAAAGTAAAAATCAGTATACGAGGCTAAGAAGTTACTTTTATACCAAATTTTCATTTAGAAAACAGCTAGACTAGTCTACACAAAAGAGTTAATTCACGGTCATCTTACTCATAAGGAGAACTGCTTTTTTGTGAGGAGGTAGATTTGCCCCTCAAAACAAGTATAATGTTCATGTGAGGCAGTGAGAATTGGCACAGCTGATGCTTCATTTAGCATTTAGCCTAGAGAGTACAAAAGGGAAGTGATACTGGCAGGACTGGTTTTGGAGGATAGCTCTGTTTTTTACCCTACCATCTCTTTTCTTACAGGGTTGCTGTATTCATTCTGCTGTTCCCTGGCATATCCTGATAACCAGTGTTGGCTTACATTGAAATACTTTGTCTTACATTGAAATACTTTGTTTCTTAGATTAATAATGAATTAATAGTCTCACCCTGTCACCCACCTAACTATTTGCATTACTGATTAATTTTTTCCTAGGTGTGTAAGTGATGGTTCTACTGAATTTCACTGACTTTACCAATCATATTTTTTACCTTACACTAAAAACAGCTGTTATGATCAGCAACTACAATTTCAACTAGTTGCCAAGTGCAATGAACTGCCTGTTTTATCTTTTCTGCTGTGATCTTTAAATGCACATTTCTCACGCACAGCCATCTTTTGGAAACCACCAATGGAAGAAGTATTTGTAATCTTTTCCTGCAGATTTACTACAAGGAAATGAAATAGTACTACTACTAGCTGCACTTACTGCTGGAGAAGCACAGAAAGGAAGTCGCTTAAATAAGACAGTCTATCAAAAGTTTAGGATAAAACTGGGATTCAGATGATGTACTGGGTGTTTGCCTGACATATTCAATCCCAAAGTGATGCCCTCAAAAAGATACAGGATGTAAGCGTGCTGTGGGTCAGATACAGCTCACAGGCCCATAGACGCACAATTTTGTCTCAGCTACCCTGTCACACTTTACCAGAGAGGGGCCCACCATAAATCTCAGAACCAAATAATTCAAAATCCATTAAGAAACTGAAATTAGCTTCCCAATAGCTCAGGCTTATCTACAGTTGCTGTCTGGCAGATATAATTTGAAATAGACTGTGCACTTACCCAAGAACATGTTCACAGAGGAGCCTACAATAGTCGCTGTGAGAACTCGTAATTAATAGCAGAATCTTCCCAGCATTTTTCAGTTGTTTCAGCCACTTTTTTACAGACTCTGGACATCTCTGTAAATATTTGTCTGGATGATTTTTCACTTCTGGGAAATATGTCCCACAGTCTTCTAAAAAAATTAAAACATAATTATGTTATCCAATCCTGCTCACAAACCACTTAATCCACACAACAAATATCCTTTGATGTGCAGACAACAAATTTAAAAGAGGCAAAGAAAAGTTTAAAATTTTCCCTGGGCTGTAACTCAATATTAACCAAAAAACCTAACCAAACCAAGAGGATACACTGTAGCAGAAAAAAATTTGCATGACTTCCCTCTTTTGTTATGGAACTGTCATAGTTATTTTGTTTGATGTTCTTTTGCTCATAACAGTTAATAATACAGAATTCACAGATTATAGTTTTATGCAGGAAATAATCATTTCTTGTCTTCGCTCAATTTTTGGATCCTCAATTTGTGATTGTAAAATGATTTTAATGTTTAGACAATAGTAAGGACCTGAAATTCCCAAGAACACCTTTCAGTTACTTCTGACACTTTAGTTTAACAGTCTGATCAGTAACATTCATTTTGTAATTTTTGCATGTTTGACCAAGAGCATGTTATCTGTGAACGGTTGATAGAACTGGCAAAGATTCATAAGTATTTAGAATACTAGGAACAGATGCAAAAACCCCCTTCAGTTCCAATTCCAGCTTCAATAATGTTCTTTTTGCCAAATAAAGCTGCAATAGAATTTTGCAAATACACTTGGAATGTAAGATTTCTACAAGTTTACAACAACACTAACTTGGCAGTAAAAGTTACCTATTCATTTAAGTCATCGATAAATATTTATCTTGTTATAGCACATAGTTGCTTTACCAAGATTTCAAATTAAACTTACCTATGTATTTCCTCTGTGCTCAAACCCTCTATAACCAAAACTATCAAGCTAGTTAAAGCTTTAAAAAGAAATATAGTAATTGTAAAGATAGAAATGACACCAAATATTTGGCGCTCAGTCTGTGTGTTATAGTATAATGAACATCATCATAGATTATTTTTCTTCCAGCACTTGTTCTATATGCAACTGTCTGTGGTCAACTTTGCTGAATGATTTAATAAATCCCAGACATTACTTAGCCTTCTGGTATGTGAGTAATGCTGTTCTCTAGTTTGAAAAAATAAGATTTAAACCACTTGAACTTTAGCTATTTAATGAAAGAGAACATGTATGTTTGAACCAGTAGTATTAAAGAAAGACTGAAAGATGCTGAGTGCTAAACATAACACTATTTCATACATTACACATTCATACATCTACAGATGGCAGGGAACAAAAGTCGTCCAAAAGAAGCTTCAAACTGGCTGTTATCCCTGCAACTAGACGGAAGCAAAAACGTATTATTCTGTACTTCGACTTGACAGATTTCTTCCAAAAACGTGGACTACTATATCTGATGAAAGTGTCTCAAACAAAATCTCCCAACTCACAACCAGGTCACTATTCCAGTTCTTCACTGTATTTAGGTCAGGCTGTGTAACAGCGTGTACCAGTGGAATATGAGCCTGTTCCTGCAGCCAGCATTATGGGATGCCATGACATTTGCCTTGAGAGCTAGCCAACAACAACGATTTTTTTGATTAAACAAGGCAGATTGACGAAGGAAGGTTTCCTGTTGTGTTTTCCCTCCTTCTTTCCTGGGGCATGAATATTGTTTGGGATGAGCAATAGAGTTTCTAGGAGCAGAAACCACATTTTTTTTCAGCATTATCATTAGTAATTATACTTCATATGCTATACTATGACAATTTTTCTTCTTTGGTGTTTTGGAAAGCACACAACATTAGATGAGAATGAAGGGGTACAAACAAAGCAGGTTTGGCATTAACTCTCACAGGTTCAAACAATTAAAAGAAAGATGGCAAAGTTCATTTATATAACAAGTGACCTAACACTCTTTTTACTCTCAAACAAAAAGATCTGTGTTATATGCACTTTATTCTTGGACTCTCTTTTTCTTTCCTTATGAAATGCCTTCCATCCTCCATGACCATTCTTTGATGCCCAATTTAAAGACTTAGTTAATTTAATCAACACTGTCCTCTTTGTCCAAAATCTGTGCAATATCTTCTATGTGATAAATCTATTATATTTGGCCTTTGAGTAACATCTGCACTGGAAAAGGCCAACAACTCTGGATTCAACATGTGAGTTGAAAGAGAGTCTTATTCTGCCTTTGTATCCAGGCCCTGAAGCCCAGCTGTTAATTGAAGACAAGCAATGAATCAGTTCTTGATATGGGGATCTGAAGTTTGCCTCTGGGCTGTTTGCCATATCAGGCAGAGGTAGATCAGAAGAACCCTCATTAAAGCATACTCTACTGTAATTAGGCAAGCATGGCCCAGGAAAGTAGAGTTTGACTTAATTCCTAACATATTATTGCATCTGGTGAAGAAAGTTTGGTGGAATACATACGCATATCTTTAAATGAGTTTAACCACCAAAACCTGCAAGATTTGATTGAAAACCAAATAAAATAAAAGCTGAAAAACTTGCTTGTTTTGAGAAGTACAGAAGAGCCACAGGCACCTTGTTGGCAAAAAAAAAAAAAAAGTTGTGGAAGTTTTAACATAGGATGGAGAAATAGCATCATGTCCAGACTTCACAATAAACAGAATGATTTGCTAATGACAAATTAAGCATTGTTTTCCCACTATGCCATATGCTGCACTTTGTTTTGCTACAGCAGGCAAACCATAAAAATCAGAAGAAAACACTATCAAGCAAAGCATCAGTGAGAAATCAGAAAAGAATTAATTAGCAGAGCCAACAGAGGAAACACAAAAGTAAGTTAACAGTAATAGGAGTGACTTCTACACAACTTGCTTACAGCTGCACTCTTGAAAAACAAAACAAGAATTCTTCAGAAAAACACCATTCTTGAGAAATAAGAAATTTCTCTAGCTTGCAATACTTTCCTGGTAATGCTTATGGGCCATCCAAATGGCAAAATACTCTTAAAAATGAAACTATAAGCACATTCTAGAAGTTTTGTTGGCCCACAAATTCACTGTATGAAAATGAGGGACTTGTGGCCAGCACCAGATCTACAACTGACAGTTTGCTATCAGTACAGTGCCTAAAATAAAATCATTACATTTTTATCTCTCTGTTTTGTGAATATCCCTTAACATACAGCTTTAGGGACATTGACATGCATACCCACAAATCAGTGGAAACAAAACAGTAAAAAAACAACTGTCCCAACTTTCACCTCAAAGTCTCTGTTTTGCAGCTACCTTCAAGCATGTCAAAGTCTACACGAGTAACCTCTGGCTTTTTGGCAGTGTGAACACTTACTCAAAATATGAGAGAGTATTTAATAAAAAAAATTGAAACAAGAAGACCATGACAATCAACATGACAATCAACATAACAATCAACATATTTACCCCCTGTGATTTTATGAGAAAATTCAATGACGTGGAGCAGGAAAGCAAAATCTAAGTATTTTATGCACAGCTTTGGAATTTATTACATATATGTTGCCATGGAGCAAATGCAGTTTTGTTCAATTTCCATTCTTGTCTTTAAACAACTTGGAGTTTATCTGAAATCTCTGAAATGCAGCCTGGGATAGCAAATTAGCAACTAGCCTCCATAGGCATTTATAAACATCTTCCAAATACACTTTCAAAAATAATAATTGCCTTTGCAGTCCATCAAGTATCCTTTCAGAAAAATATATTTCCTATTTAAGCAGAAGATAGAAATATAAGCAATTAAAATGAGTGTCTAGAACTGCTACATATTACAGTCCTGCCAGAACCTCTAATCAGGTTGACATCCTGTTGTATTTTCAAAGCAATATAATTTATTTCTTCTATGTATATTATCAGAGGCTCCCTTTGTGTCCAGTTTGGAGTTTATTTTCTTGTGTATCATCTGACATTATAATTTAATTGGCATGTTCTTTGCATAGTCTTGCCTTGCAGTTTAATTGCACCTAATACAGTTGTGATGGTAAGTGTGATGGGGATTTACATAGCTGGAAATGCAGAACCTCTAGACCAAACTCAGAAAAAGTTGGTACAATGCTTGTCATGACTTCCAGCACAGACAATAATCCAGTCCTTAATCCAATTGCCCTACTCTACTACAGTTGCAAAATTACTTTATTGAAGTATGCAGTTCAATGTTTTCATATAATACCTGTATTTGTAGAAAAAATAACTGTGGATTTCTCTTTTGCTCTGTATTACACCACTTCTCCTTGGCAGGATCAGTTTACACCTACTGGCTCTGGACTCCTTTGGACTCAATGTCTGTAAATCCACACTGCCAGGACACTGTAGTTTTCATCCCTTAACTATTATCTGGATTATAAAATGGGCAAACGTTCAAGAGGCACATTTCTGGCAAGATTTCAGTCCAGAACTAAAACACAGAAACACAGTGATTTTTTTAATATTGTCATGCTTCTAAGGGGAATCTACTTGATTGAATTAAAAGTAATTTATCCGCTATTTATACGATTTAGCTAAGCAGAGAGGTATGAGGCTGAAAAAAGTTCCTAGAATTCAGCCAAGAAAAATAAACTTTCAGCTGCCAATTAGTAGCTTGTATTTAGTGGCTTTAACAATCTCTTACAATGAAAGTATTATTTGGGAATGTGACTTTCTTTCTTTTAAACTCAAAGGCAATATGATAGCTTAGCTATCAATACCCATAGCCAGATTCTCTGCAGCTCTGCCACCAGTAGGGAGTTCTTCCCTAATTTTAATCTGAATGCAGGCTTGTAGGTAACAGTTATTGATTTGACTAACAGAGTAAAGCTGCAATAATGTGTTACAATCAGCAATGATAGAGACAATTATGTTCACTGCACATTGCTATACTCCCCATCTTACTGTACTTCAGGTTTTTACAGTGAACAGAGACACCTCTTTGACTATGTCTTTTTCTCTAGTCCAAATAAATCTAACAAGTGTCATGAGCATTCAACAAAAACACAAGAAAAATACCTTAATCACTGAAGGTTTTGCAAAAGAATTTAAATTTCATCTAATGAAGGCAAGCAGAGGAGAAAGGGGGTGATGGTTAAAATTACATTAGACAA